TACCATAACTACAGTGTGCACAGAAGCTAGGCCTCCCTAGCCGGTCCCAGGATGGCGGGAGAAGCCAGCACGATGAGCCACACAGTAACCATCGAGGAACCCCAGGCCAAGCCGCAAGTGTCTAAACTCCAGTGTGAGATGAGCTCGAAGGCCGGGAAAATCGGCTCTGGTCGAATATATGATTTCCTGTACGGTAAGGGCCGCCCCAGGGCTGTCGACTCCCCAGTCAGGTGGCTTCCAGATGAGGGACCCGGCCAGGGGCGTAGCGAACGAAAGAAAAGCTTCTGGACCGACTCCTTGCCTGCGGTTGTCCTTTGTTGGGTGGGGGCATTTCCAAACCCTCCAGGTGACTTGAGCGCTCGGGGCGGGGGTGGGGTGGGGTGCAGCAGAAGTCTCAGGTGTGAGCTGCTTACCCTAGCGGTCCTCCTTACTCCTCTTTTCCTGATGGTTTTCTCAGCCCAGAGTAATCTTCCTGAAACCTATTCTGGGCTTTTTGGGTATCTTGAAATATGGAATTATTTGCAGACTTGGAGATTTACTCAACGCTCCCAAATTCAAACTGCACAAAATGCCCGACTAAAATAATCTTTTCTCTTCTACTCTCTGGGCAAATCCAAATTTGGCATTCTAGGTAAAAAATTGCCAGTTTACTTAACGTTTACTTTCAATTTTGTTTCATTCTTTATCCATCAAAGCATTTTTTTTTCCAAAGCATTTTTTGTTGTTGTTGTTGAGGATTCATTGAGGGTACAGAGAACCAGGTTACACAGTACCAGGTTACACAGTTTGCATTTGCTAGCTAAAGTCCCTCTTGTAATTATGTCCCGCCTCCAAGAGGTGTGTCACCTACTGTGACCCTCCCATCCCCTTCCCTCCTTGCCTCTCTCCTCTGTCCCCTTCCCCCACCATGTACTAGCATCGGTTGTCTTCATATTAGAATTGAGTACATTGGATTCTTGCCTCTCCATTTTTGTGATGCTTTACTAAGAAAAATGTGTTTTCAATTGTATCCAGGTTAATACAAAAGTTGTAAAGTTTCCATCTTTTTTAGTGGCTGAATAGTATTCCATGGTATACATATACCACAGCTTGTTAATTCATTCTTGGATTGGTGGGCATTTAGGTTTTTTCCGCAGTTTGGCAATTGTAAATTGACCTGTGATAAACTGTCTAGTGTAAATGTCCTTATGATAAAATGATTTTTTTTTCTTCTGGGTAGATGCCCAGTAATAGGATTGTAAGATCAAGGTCCACTGGCTCCTCTTGGGTCAGTTAAGTCCCAGTTTATTTTAATGCTTTGGTTGTCCCTTTATATTCTCTTTTTTATATTCCTTTATAATTCCTGTTTTTATAATTCCTTTATAATTCCTGGACTTTATATTCCTTAAATTCCTGTTTTATACATTTTTGTTGTCTTCTCAGCACCTATATTGGCGCTGGTACATATGCTAGGTGCTTCATAAATGTTTATCGAATTCACTGTTACAAAAATTGTAACCTGCTAAGCATGATTTTTTTTTTTCAATATTGTTCTCCTTAGTCTTAAGCTCTTCACTGGAACCTTGTTGCTTCTTGGAATCCCAGAGTCATTTTTGGATGAGAATCTATATGGTACCCATTCCCTGGATAGAGGCTGTGTAATGATTGCTTATATATGCTGGCCAATGGTTTTCTTTATTTACTCTTGACTTTATGAAATAAATCTAATAAACTCCTGTAAACACATCACTGTGTGTGTTTTTTTTCCCAAAGGTAATTTGGGCATGGGGTTAAACATCTTCAGATAAAATACAAGATATCTAATTTAAATTTCAGATAAGCAATTATAATTTTTAATATAAACATATCCCTAATATTGCATGGGATAAAATGTCTATACTAAAATATTATTCATTACTTATCTGAAATTCAAGTTTAACTGTATGTCCTTTATGTTTATGTGCTGAATCTGGCAACTTCAACAGAGTGAAAGATAATAAGATTCAAGAATGGGCCAGATAATAAGGTAATAAGATTCAAGAAGTGTGCCATGCTGTCAGCCTAGCTCACAGCAATCTCAAATTCCTGGGCTCAAGCAAGCCTCCTGCCTCAGCCTCTCTAGTAGCTGGGACTACAGGCTAAGTGGAAAAATTTCTTAATTCCCTGAAGCTGTGGCCATCTTAACATTGCAGCACAATTCATTACTTTTTCTATGTTTAGATATACAATACTATGGGGTTACAGTTGCCTCCATGATTCAGCACAGTAACATGCTGTCTGAGTTTGTAGCCTAGGAGCAATAGACTATACCATACAGCCTGGCATGCTCTCTGGATTTGGAAAGTACACTCCATGTTTGCACACTATGAACTCCCCTAAGAACCCATGTCTTAGCAAGTATCCTTGTCATTAAGCAACGCATGACTGTACATGCCTCTTTGTTCCTTCTTCCATCTGACAGAAAGACACTTGTGTATGGATTTCTATGACAGGGACTGGGTGGCACATTATTTGATCTCTTAGCCCTAAGGCTCAACACTAATTGTGTACAGTCTTCAAGTATCTTAACTGAAAATTTAAGTGAGAAATAAAGTTGTTGGCTGGCCAATGAGTTGACTGGCCTTGGGTCAGGTTTCCAGTCTGACGAAAAGAACTGTGGCCAGTGGGACAAATATGAACACCTTTCTTTTACCCTTCCCTGCAAAGCCCTGTGCCATCCAGCCCCTTGGTTACTTCTCTGACCTTTGACCTACTATTCTTTCCCTCCTTCATTTTGCTTCATTCATTCCGTTTTTGTTGTTTGTTTGGCTTTTGCTATTTTTCAAACATATTAGGCATGCTCTCCTCCTGGAGCCTTTGCTCTAGCTGCTTCTGCCTAGAATGTTCTTCCTCCAGATACCTATTTAGCTAATTTCTCACTTTAAGTCTCCTTACATGTCACATTCTCAATGAAGCCTGCCCTGACCACCCTGTTTAAAATTGCAACCAAATCTCCCTTACCCTTATCTCTTCTTTAAAAAACAAAAAAACCTGTTACCCTCTAATTCCAACATAATATGTAACTTCCTGGTTTATTATATTTGTTGTTTATTGTCCCTCTCCCATGAAGTCAGGGATTTTAATCTTTTCACTGATATATTCCAAGCACCCAGAACATAGTAGCCAATCAATAAATATTTGTTGAATGAAAAGAGCCTGAACCCCTTGTAGCATTGATGGGAATATCAAATGTCTGCATTCAACACATTGTTTCTGTTGGGTAACTGTGGGATTATTAGGTCATTAGGAATTGATTCATATTATCCAAATGCAAAAGACATTTCTTTCTTAAATTCCTGGGTTTAAATAATCCTCCCACTTCAGCCTCCTGAGGAGCTAGGACTACAGGCATGGGCTACCATCCCTGGCTAATTTTTAGATTTTCTTTTGTAGAGATGGGGTCTTACTTTGTTGCTCAGGCTGGTCTTGAACTCCCAGCCTCCCAAAGTGCCAAGATTGAAGGCATAAGCCACCACACCTGACCTAAAAATGCCCTTTTCTACAAGATTGCTGTGTTTCTTCATATTTTTCTATTACCCAACTGTTAAAAATCATCACTGTCAAAAAATTTTAACCTTTTATACCAAAAAGGAAGCAAGGATTCATTAGTAAAATAAAGGTTTTGAAATTAAGGTTTAGTATACAAATATTGCCAACCTGACACATTTCTGCCCTGTCTTACTTCTCACCGGCCCCTTTCCATATTTTATAGATGATTCTTTCTTTCTTTCTTTCTTTCTTTTTTTTTTTTTGAGGCAGAATCTCACTATGTTGTCCTCGGGAGAGTGTCGTGGCATCACAGTTCACTGCAATCTCAAACTCTTGGGCTTAAGCAATTCTCTTGCCTCAGTCTCCCAAGTAGCTGGGACTACAGTTGCCTGCCACAACGCCCGGCTATTTTTTGTTGCAGTTATCATTGTTGTTTGGCAGGCCCAGGCCGGGTTCGAACCCTCCAGACTTTGTGTATGTGGCTGGCGCTGTAACCACTGTGCTATGGTCTCCAAGCCTTTATAGATTATTCTAAGGAAAAAGTACATTAAACTAGGGCCTTAGAATTAAATAAATACACAAAACAACTCAAAATGCAATTCTGCAAAGAATCTGCAGTTGATAAATAAAGAGCATTATAACTCAGAAAGGTAATTATATGCATGGCCTTTTGACTCAGGTCCTAAATTTGACTATCAATAAATACGTTCTAAGCTGCCAATGTCCTGAAACCTCAGTTTGTGTGGGAAAAAATAGTTTCTTTGCACAAATAAAACTTACACTGGAAACTTAGTAAATAATTTTACACTGTATATTTTGGGGGAAAGTAATGATTTCAAATGGATGCCATTATCTTTAAGTAAAAAGCTAAATGGAGCCACAATGCCAGAAATCACTTTCCCATTCCTGGGCATATATCCCTGTTAAATATACAGAGACCTAACTAAGTGTGAGTAAGGTATTGTAGGCCCAGTATAATTTCATAGTGGTAAGTTAAAACTGATGTTTAAAGAGACTTATTTCTAAACCATAATACCAATTTATTAATTTTGTATGGAGAAATATATATTACCAAGTTATCTAGACTAGCTAGTCAGGGTTTTTATTTGTTCTCCCAGAGATAAGTCTACTTGGGAGATCAAGTGTGTTTGTGAGTTTAATGTCAAATTGGTTGGTTTAAAGGATGGTACAGTATAATTAATTATGAATACTCTTCATCACTTTAAAGATGTACCTGATAAGCAGATACTTACAACAGCAGGTCAATCAATGTATTTATGGATTTTGGAGAAATAACTTAGGCCCATCATATTTATAAACTTTAGGGGTGAATTCTGAAGGCAGCTGATCTTATTTACCACTTATTAGAGAATGACATTTTCTTGCCCTGTCTACCAATCCTGAGATGTCACGTTTGCATTTTCCCAGTACATGAATATAGGAGATATATAGTATCTAAATGTATTGCTTCTTTCACTTGCAAATGGGCATAGTTCTTATATACAAGGTCTCTTTTCTTGAAGTATTTCTTGGGCTACCAGCCCCAGAAAGAGTTTTGATTATTTAACAGAGTGAATTTAGAGTATTGTACTTGAGAATAAGCTAGGCTTTCTTTTTGCATTCCAATTCCATAAGCTGACTTGGGATACACAGAAAAGAAATGCATCTACGAAATGTATCACTGATAGATGTGGTAGAGTAATAGAGCTATCTGTACAATAGAGCATGAGCTGCTGGGGAGTTACACAACACCTAAACTTTCTAACTTGTTTTCCGATTACATTGCTTTGCCATTATCCTCAGCCTAGGAGTAGATATGTTGTAGACCTTATGCTACTTTGTTGTTTGTTTTGCAGATCCACTGTTTACTGTGTCAAGCGAGAAAGACCACACACAGGCGAATATCCAAGCCACCCTGTTTAGAAGCCGACTGGTATGTCTAATGCATTGACTAACGCTGCCTACTGACCCTGAGCCACCTTGTTTGGCTAACTGCATTGATCATATTGATTCATCACCAAATCTCTGCTGGATTTTAGGTTTTGTGGAAATTGCTTTGCCATGATGAATAGGGGACAATGCATCCTAATACTTGTGGTTCATTGTGAGGTTTAATTTACTAATTATGAATAAAAGACCTATATCTAATTTAATTTAATTTAATTTAATTTTTGAGATAGAGTCTCACTTTCTCACCCTGGGTAGAGTGCTGTGGTGTCATAGCTTGCAGCAAGCTCGAACTCCTGGGCTCAAGCGATCCCTTTACCTCAACCCTTCAGAGTAGCTGGGAATACCGGTACCTGCTATTTTTAGAGACAAAGTCTGGCTCTTGCTCAGGTTGGTCTCGAACTCCTGAGCTCAGGCAATCCATCTGCCTTGGCCTCCCAGAATGCTAGGATTATAGGCATGAGCCACTGCACCTGGCCTTGATAACTAATTTATTTTAATAGGAAAAGTAATGCCTATGTTAGAAGAATTCAAGTAGTACAAAAGTACAGTATGAAGTAAATTCTAGCTCTACCTCCCTCCACATAAACAGTCATTGTCATCAGTTTCTTGGGAATCCATTTAGAGATATTCTATGCATATATTATTAATGTCTCTTCCTATGCGATATACATTGTTTTGTACTTTTTAAAAAAAATGTACAATATGATTAAAATGCTTTGAAAAATCTGATAGTATAATTTTTTCCTTTTTCTCTCTGACTCTCTTTCCTAACATTAGAAAAAAGTTCCTAGGTTTAGAACCATGTTCAGTAACCTGATCCGTTATCCAAGATATTCTCTGTATTGGAGCAAAGCAGATCCTGTCCCACCATTTATCAATCGGGAATGGAGGGGACATGAGGAGAGATGCAAAGAAGCCCTCCAGCAGCTTGCTGTGTAAGTGTAAGGTGGCTCTGCCTCCTTAAAATACTCATGGTTTGTTTTTTTTTTTTTTTTTGCAGTTTTTGGCTGGGACTGGGTTTGAACCTACCACCTCCAGCATATGGGGCCAGCGCCTTACTCCTTTGAGCCACAGGCGCTGCCCAAAATACTCATGTTTTTAATGAATGTATTTTTCTTTTAAAAAATTTTTATTTATTTACTCTGCATGATTTTAAAATGTACGGTTGCGATGTTAGACCTGTGCCAACTTCTCTATCTAAAGCAGTGATTTTCAACCAGTGTGCTGCGAGAGGATCTTAGGTGTGCCTTGATCATTAATTAAATTATTTTTGAAAGAATTCAAAGCGCAGTAAGTGTATTTTTTTGTTATTCTTTTTTTTTTTTTTTTTTGGATCAACATAATTGAAGTGTGCTGTGGAAGTTTAACTATAGGGTCAAGTGTGCCGTGAGAAAGGTCGAAAAAGGTCGAAAACACTGCTCTAAACGATTTTGACAGAAGCAAGCCTGATTAAGGAGTAGTGGTTACAGATTTATTGATTATTAGCTGTTCTCAGAAGGTTGGCATGAATATGTACATTAAATAACAACTTGCTGCCAAAGGTAGGGGTGACTAAGCTTGTTGGTCCTTTGATCCATCTTGGAAATTGCAAACGTTCTTTTCTGCTAGTATCTAAAATATTTTTTGGAGGTGTGCAGCCAAAGCACCTTGAAAGGTAAGTCTTTTGAATTCTTTATTCTTTTAATTACTTACAAGTACACATTTAGTAAATTAAAAAATAATACTGTCAACTAAATCACTGGGAATTTCAGAATTATCTGTTCAAACCTTGCTGTTTTCATGTGCTTTTAATTAAACATTTCCAATTCTTTCTCTTTCTAGGTCCTGGTTTCGTGGCTTAGGGGAAGAATTATATCTAAGATGTAGGACAATCAAATGAGTGTTATAGAAGACTTTGGTCTCAGTATGAGATACTCTGTGTATCTTCTACTTGTAGACATAGAAATATTAAATAGAAATTATATGTGGAAAAATATTAGACTTCAGTAATGTTTTTCTGCTTTATTTTAGAACTGACAGTTTTCAGATGCTTAAAGAAGTTTATGAAGATCCTGAAGTTACCGGAAGGAATCGCTATAAATATTTTGAGAGGTAGAAAGTAATTATTAGTGAACATTTGGGCCCTGATATTATTAAGGAACCCTTTTATAATAATAACAGCAGCTATCATTTTTTTTTATTAAATCATAGCTGTGTATATTAATGCAGTCATGGGGTACAGTGTGCTGGTTTTATATACAATTTGAAATATTTTCACCAAACTGGTTAACATAGCCTTCATGGCATTTTCTTAGTTATTGTGTTAAGACATTTATATTCTACATTTAGAAAGATTCACATGTACCCTTGTAAGATGGACCATAGGTATGGTCCAGCTATCATTTTTAAGTGCATGCAGTGTGCAGGCTTTGCATGCATGTTGTCTAATCCTTACCATAGAAATATATGATATGATATATTATATATTATCCCCATTTCACCAATAATGAAGCTGAGACCAAGAAAAGAGAAGTAGATTGTTTGAGATCATACAAGAGTTAGCAAGTGGCAGAGTTAGGATTCCAACTAAACCTGCTTGATGTTAGAGGTACTGATTGCAACTAAGGATATGTATTCAAAAACAAAATGAAGTCATCAAATGAGATGAGGGAAACACACCAGAGATACCATGAAGTTGTACGGAAGGGAAGATTGTTGAAGGTGTTCAAATGGGCAACACTTGCTCCTTTGTTTGAATGTTGCCAAAACCAATGTGGTCAAAAATTCATTTTATTTCATTTGTGATTAATATTCCTCTAATAATTATAGACTCAAGTCAAATTAAACCAAGATGGATTTTCCTTATAGCTCTTACCTGAGCTAGAAAAACAGTCTGGATACCTCAAGCTTCCTTGAGAAAGTAAAATTCTAATCCACATCATTATTTATGAGCAATCTGCTCCTGGAAAATTTGTAATGCTAACTGTTTCAGAGAAATGTTAATTTTTAACTATAGTATACTCAATTTTTAGACTTTGGGGAGGAAGCTTTAAAACTAAATCACTGGGAATTTCAGAATACCTCAGGGAACTTGAGAAGTTGGAAGCTGATGGGCAGTTAAAGACCCAATACAGGGGAGTGTTTCTTAAAACGGTTTTGTTTAACATCTGCACAGAAAATGTGGGAGGTCTTTTGAAGAATGCAGATTCATTGGCTCTACCTTGTATCTGCTGAACCTCATGGGCCAGACCTGGGAATTTGCATTTTAAACAAGAACTTCTCCACCTGTCTCCCAGTGATTTTTGTGTATGCCAAAGTCTAACTAACAATGATATGTGGGACATTGAAGCTCGTTGATATTAAGAGACAGACATTAGAATTGTAAGGAAGCTTTGGCTGCCCTCAAAGCAAAAGTCCCACATTTATGTTTTTCTTTTCCTCCCAGGCCTTTTCTTCCGTTTTATCAACAGATTCCCCTGAATGTTGTTTATGCAGTAACCAAGTAAGTAAACATTGTTAAAAACTGCTTCTTAGTTTAGTTATTGTTTACTTCCATATTTGCTTTCAGAAGATACTTAGCTAAATAAATATTTTTCAAACTGTGGGTCACAAAGCATTAGAAAGTATAAAATTTTCTAGTGGGTCATAAGTAGCATTTAAAAGAATGAAAGAGAATAGAAGATAACCAAAGCTTCAGGCATATTGTGTGGGGATGGGGTGGGGTGGTGTTTATAACTTTTGTTTCACATAAATAGATATATATGTTTATAAGTATATAATGAATTATGACATAAAATGTATTTCTTACTATGAGTTGTCTTAGTCCATTTGGTACTACAGAAATGTCATAGATTGGTTATACAATGGAAATTTATTTCTTGGCGTTCAGAGTGCTAGAATTTAGTGAGTGCTCAGGTCCTTGTTGCTGTGTCTTCACACGTCAAAAGGAGCAAATACAGTGTCCTCACAGGTGGAAGGAGAAAGAGCAAACTGGGACTAAACTAGTTAGTTCCCTCTAGCACTTTTTTTTTTGTTTGTCTGTTTTGTTTTTGCAGTTTTTGGCTGAGGCTGGGTTTGAACCTGCCTCTTCCAGCATATGGGACCAGTGCTCTACTCCTTTGAGCCACAGGCGCCTCCTCCAGCACTTTTATGAGATTGGGACTTTCATGACTTAATCACTTCCCCCAAATGCCCCATCACTGATTAATTTTAAACAAGAATTTTGGAGGAGACACACATTCAAACAATAGCAATTGTGGCCAAAAAAAAAAGTTGAAAAGTGCTTTAAATGTCCTCTTTTGCTTCTCTGAAAAACCCATGTATTTGACAGCAGTTCTTCATCATTTTATCAAGAAAACTAATGAGTCATGGAATTTCTTTTTTTCATTTCTTTTTTTTTTTTTTTTTAGAGACA